CTTTAGCTCGTATCACGGCGACCCCGTGTTTGTGATCGACAGCGCTCTGCGAAACAAAGCTGCCGTCGTCTGCTGGTGTGTTGCTCCGCCGGTTAATTAGCAGGAAGCTTCTGTGTCGGCAGACAGCGTTATGAATCTACGCTCAACCAAAATTACCACTTGATAACTCGATTACAAAGATTATGCCGTTTCCGTTGTGAACTTGTTTCATATGGATGCGTGTGCACGACCGGAGACTCTAATTTAAAGCTCTTGTGCTGCAACACTTATTTATGTTTTAACGCCCACAAGCATTACGTGTCCCCTCTCTGTTCCTCGTTCATTAAACTGCCTCGGCAGGCGCCTGTAATGCTCATAATGGAGGGTTTCTGTCAATTCAATGAGATCGCTCACAGCTCGCAGAAACTCTGCTAATAGCTAATTACAATAGAGACACACTGAGAGGGTAGGGAGAATGAGACAAAAGGGGTAAATGGGATGAGAGGCAGAGAAAATGGGCTTTACCATTGCAGTTGTGTGGGTGAATAAAGTGCACTGAGTTGAATAGAAATGAGCTGATGGGATTCGGACATAAAGTTTTGATCAAAAGATGATTTTAGACCTGAAAATATTGTTTTGAGCTTGAAAAAAAGATGCAGCATGCTTATATTTACGCAGAAACATGATCAGATCGATAATCAGCATCAGCAAAAATGAAAAAGTTAGCTTAGACTTGTGTTTGGTGATCAATCATTCAGATCTTATCGAAGGTGGGCTGAGTTTCCTTCGCTGGAGCAGCAGGTTAGCTGACTGAGCCTCATGAGGTCTGTTTTTAATGGTTTTCTCTTTCCTTCCTCCTGCAGCCGTCGTTCACATCAGCAGGATCAGAATCGGCATCAAAGTACACAATAAAAGAGATTAAAAACTTACTCAACTCTCCTTCTGCAATTAAAATTAAACTCAGGTTTGGGCCAAGTCCAGACAAAGCTAGTGTTTTAGTCTATACGACAAGTTTCTTGGTTGGTTAGGGGTCCTACCATGATTATCTTTAAACTGGCTTCATTTGAAACTAGCTTCCAGAGGGGATAAGTTTGAAGCATATTTTTGAATTGGAGCCAAAGCAGCCGTCAAACAATCAGCAAATTTCTATGTTGTGATTCTGTTTTAGAATGTACCTCTAGGAGGTAGAGTAAATAGCCCGATCCAGCGGGGGAGAATTCAGCCCAGACAGAAGTTTATCCTTAATCCAAATAATTTCTCCTAAATAATTTCTCATCTCTTGCCAAATAGTTAAATTATCCTGAACTATTTTATATAATTGTGCTGCTATATGTTTAAGCTGCTGGAGGACATAGGGACCACTTTTTTTATTTTTTATTTTTTTTATTTTATTACATTTTCCAGATGGATATACAAAAATTAACATAAAAGATCAAATCCCCACCCTTCCCTTACCCTCATAGAACACTTGCACAGATAAGACAACATGATGAAAACACAATGAATTGATCCAAAGCATTCCACAAGCATGAAAAAAAGGATAGTTATACAGGGTATTAAGCAGTGACGAGTCAGTCGTAATCACTTTTTCATTGAAGGAATTTTAGTACATGGTCCCATATTTTCTCAAACACATCGACCTTATCTTCGTTATAGTGTCTCTTTCCAGATGCAGAGTATTTGCTAGTTCTCCCAACCACAAATCAAATGTGGGCACAGAGTACTTTTTCCAAAATCTCAAAATCAATCTTTTTGCAATCACCGTACCAAACAAGACAGCCATTTTCTCACTTTTAGTGGCTGGTTGCAAATTTTTTTTTTTTGTCTTTTTTTTAATTGAAAACTTCAAAATTTACAGACAAACATGGCCGCATAGAGTTTGTTTCTTCAAGTCAGGTTACATAGAAAATATAGCCAAGGGGTAACATCTCTTCACACAAATTGAAATATATCTATAACATAGACTTGCTATAGAGGGCTGTTAACATAAACATCAAAGACATAAAACCAAATAAATAAACAAAATAGAAATTTATAAGATAATTTTAAAATAAAAACAATAATATTAATAAAAGAAAATAAGAAAGTATAACATGAGGGGGAAATCCAGTCTTTGTTTTAGCTGTTTACTTCTGTAGGGAAGCGTTTTAGGGTATCATATACAGTATGTTTTGTGCTTTAGGACCTTTCAAAATCTTTAATGATTTTATATATAGCTTAAACTCGTAAAAAAAAAAAAAACAAGTTTGGGAGATGATTTGACAGGCTGGTTGCAAAGTACTGGAGACCCCGATGATGGCAATAAGAGGTTCTGGATCCCATCTTTTTCCAAAAGCTGCTGAAAAAAATTACAAATTTTCTTCCAGAATGAGTGAAGCTGAACACATGACCAGAAGGAGTGCGTCAGGTTACCAATAGCAACCCGACAACGATTACAAATTGGAGACGCACTAGGAAAGAAAGTGCTCAGTTTCTCCCTCAAATAATGGAGCCTATGTATAGTTTTGAACTGTATGAGATTGTGTCTGACATTGACCCAAGCGTTTGGCTTGTTTTTTCAGTGTTGTTCTGGGTTTTTTTTCTGTCCCGAACTGTATGTGCTCTCTTTCATTTTCTGACATGAGAATTGGCTTGGAGCTTGTCTGTCTGGCTTTGTCTTTTCTGGACGGGGCCACCTGGACGGGTCCATTTGGACGGGGCCACCTGGACGGGGCCAGCTAGTCAACAGTTACCTTTTGTATGTCTGCTCCTGTCTCCTTGAACCCAACTCGGCCTTGGCAGATGGCCACCCACCCAGCCTGGTTCTGCTGGAGGTTTCTTCCTGTTAAACGGGGGTTTTCCTCTTTACTCTAGCTGTATGGGTGTTTGGTGTGAGGGATTGCTGGAGAGTCGACAACAAAATGCAAACGAATATCGTCACCCCAATCTCCCCCAAAGAGAGCACGTCTAGCAAGTCAAAGACAGAAACTTTTAACTAGTCTGACTGTATTTTCTATGTGAAGAGCCTTGCAATGACATGTGTTGACAATTGGTCCCTTAAAAATGAACTGAACTGAATTTAAATCAGAATCAGTATTTTAAAAGCTGTTTAATTTTCATCGTTTGTTCACACCCAGCATTTTTTTCGACAGTAGGCTGGCAGGAGAGAGGGGGAGAGACATACGGCAAAGGATCACAGTCGACCGCGTCGAGGACTAAGGCCTCTGTACATGGGTCGTGCGCGATAACCACTGCTCCACCTGCGTCATCCATTCCTTATTATGTTTATGGTATTAATTTTTGGCTTCAGGCTGTTTCATCTTCCTACTTCTTCTGCATAAAACGTATCTGTCATCATAACAAAGTCAGGAAAAAGTTTATTAAAACGGTCATAAGAGGGATTAGCATTATGCTTTAAAATGTCGTTTTTCTATTTACTAAACATATTGACATAACAAAAGATCTTAATTTTTATTTATGCTCTGAAAAAGAAACAACCAAAATAATAAACAGGTTTTACCAAATAAAAACAAAGATATGTTTTCTACCAGAGGGGAAAAAGGTGATGGTATATTTGTCCTTTTAGGCTAAATCATCTCAGTTGGAAGGTTCTTGAAACCATCTGCCAGGTTCTGACACCGGTCTGAGGAAGGGTTGGTTGGTTTGCTGTTCAGCCTGTTTCCAAACAATCTACAGTACCTGGATCTAATCAAGCTTTGACTAGGCCAAGTCAAGATGGATTTAATTATATATTTGAGTTATTGACATGGTGCACATTCCAATTCTCCTTCAGTCTATTTTCTTTTTCAGATGTTTGAGCATTTTGTTTCAGCACCCCCTGAATATCATAGTGGACTCTATTATAGTTATCGGGTCAGTTACTACTCTAGCAAATGAACCCCAAACCATGAAGGCACCACCTCCATGCCTTACATTTCATATAATGGTATTTTCCTGTGATGTTCTCTTTGGTTCATTTCAAACACGTCCTCTTTACCGTGTCCAAATAATTATAGTAGCCATTTAAGATTTCCCCACTTTCCTTGATGAGCCGTTGGCTGGTCCTTGGCTGATCCGTTTTAAACATCAATATTTGTATGAAAATATTTTTCCTTTCATGATTTGTTAACATTAAGGTCTAAAGAAAAGTGTCATCTCCTGGTCAGACCCTCTAGTTCAGTGAAAGGGTGGATTCGGAGTTAGAAAATATGCAGTAGGGGGTCACTCCAGTGGCTGGCAGTTGGAGGGGATTTCGCTGGGAGTTGGAGGGAAGTGGGCTGTCATTTGGCTGGAGATTGATTGGGATGGACCATTTTGAATGGCTGCTACTCTAAGTCCCAGACTGTCTGTTGGGTTTATTCAATGATGATTATAAAATTAATGTGTGCTTATGAAACATTTGTGCAAGGGGATGCTCCACTACTGTCTCATGATCCAGTCAGGAGACCATCCTGCCTTGTCATTCTGATGGAGCATTCTGTCTTCATGAACTGATCAATTGTTCTGTCAGAACAATACTCTGTTTGTAACCATGCGTCATGTTCTGTTAATAAACGCTCTGCAGGCCAGTGGGAGACAGTTTGTTTGAGTCTGGGGTTCAACTGTCTCTCCTTCCTGCAGGAATAGTATCAATAAGTCTGTATTTCAGTTCTTCTTAAGAAAAAACCTATCAAAGAACCCGACACTGTCTCTAAAGCCTCTCTGGCAAACAGAAGAAGTATATCTTTCCGTAAAAGTTCAAAAAAATCCACTGGACTTGGTTTCCAACATTTTGAAGACGTTTCGCCACCTCTCCAGGAAGGTGGCGAAACGTCTTCAAATCTTGGAAACCAAGTCCAGTGGATTTTTTTTTTACTTTTACTGAATGACTATGACCTGGATGACTGAGAATCTTCATCAGCAGAAGAAGTATAAGTTTTATCTTTCCATGCTTCCTTTAAAAGGTTCAGCTTAAGTGGCCTCCATCTTATTGTTATCCTTACTGGAAACCATTGTAACTATTTCTCTGTAAAAGCGTTATTTTTGTGTGTTGGTGGAAACAGGAACACGCGCCGTACAGCTGAGGTGTGGATGGACGACTTCAGCCTGTTTTACTACTCCGCCCGGCCGGCTGCTCGAGGGAAATCCTACGGAGAGTAAGAATAAACAAAACTGATGCACTCATCATAAATATACCCTCTCTAATTGTCCTGCTTCCTCATCACTCCGTTATATTGTTATGGCTTCTGCAGAGCGACTCGCAGGATTGCAAATGATTTTGCTTAATCAACATAAAAAGAGGTTTATTGCTCCCTACTAGAACCAAAGAGATTGTTACAGTTTGAAATGTTATCGGCAGGGTTTGGGTCATTACAAAGCGGAAAATATCCAGTCATTTAGAAATATTCTCATTAAGTGGCTCTTTTGGGGATTCAAACTTTGGATTGATGCAGTCATCAAGCTAAAAGAGCTTTTCTCTCAGTTGTAAAAGAGTATTCTCTTGTGTGGTTAACCAAAGAGGCTGATTAATCCCTGCTCTAAAGCCTGAATGTTCATTTTATATTTTTTTAGCCTAAACTGAATGTTTCTCCACACCCCCGTGGTTTAATCTCACACGGATTGTAAGAATAAACATTCACAGTCACTGTTGGAGCAGCCAGAGGATCTCAGTGAAATGTCAGTTTATCTGTCAGGAACATGTGAACACTGACATTTTCACATCATACGCCGTCATTATTTGCCCGACTCTGCAGTAGTATTTCATTATCTATCATAATCTTGCCCATTATTATGAGTTATTTCGCGTCTACCTTCCTGAGTGTTGGTGAAGGTGTGTCTGGCTTTCTGATGTGCTGTTTATCTGCCAGGCTGACTGTCTGCTTGTCTGGATTTTTCCTTTTTTTTTGTCTCACAGCATTCAAGGCAGAGTGGAACTTCGGAAAAAGCTCAAGTGCAAATCCTTCAAGTGGTACCTGGACAATGTGTACCCGGAGCTCAGGTAAGAGCGCATGTTTGTGTGTGTGTGTGTTGGAGCAGCTGTCTTTAAGCTCATCTGTGCAGGAAAAGCTGATCTACTGCTGAGCGTGCAAACTTCTGGATCATTGTTTGAAAAAAAAAAGATTCATTTTGATCTTTTATGCTTTGTGCGCCATTGTAGAGTTTTGCTGACTCGGTTAGCTAAATGCTGACTCATCGTATGAAAAGATGCAACACGCTACAAAGGTTAGAGTCTGACATTCAGGTTTTATTGAGGTGGCAGATGTGAAGCAGAGTCAGATGGTGAGGAGTATGATTAAAGCAGGAAGTCAAAAACAGCTCAACCAGTTTAGGATATGGAAGGCGGTAAAAAAAGATTTATTTTATATTTTATATATTTGGAGACATCAAAAAAGTTTTGAAATTGTTTAGTATGTTTTAAGATTGACCATGTTTCAGAACAAATTTGTTAAAGGATGTCAGGCAAACTGATTCCCATCTGCTAGCAGCCTTATCCCATAGTCCTAGTTCTCCTAATATCATGTTTCCAACTGGAGAATCAAAACAAATGAAATATCTCAGCATGTGTAAAGATGTGTTTGAACGTTTACACACGCTAGTAATTCAATTAATACCAAACTAAAAAAGAAATGATAAATACAAAATGACAAAATTATGATTTGGTAAAATTAAATATTGATTTTCTATTTTTGTTTATAACAATAACTCTAAAAATAAACTGTCCCAGACAAAAAAAAATGCCTTGCTCATGAACAGTGAACCAACATGCCTGTCAGCAAGTGTAGAAGTTTGACTGAACATTGCAGAAAACAGCTGATTTCAGTTATTATTGCCTTAAAGTGTTGCTCAACATAATTTTAGTTCAACAGCTCAATCAGGCTGGTTAACTTGTTTTATTTATTATTATATATGCATACATATGTCTGTCTGTCTGTCTGTCTGTCTGTCTGTCTGTCTGTCTGTCTGTCTGTCTGTCCGTCCGTCCGTCCGTCCGTCCGTCCGTCCGTCCGTCCATCCATCCATCCTTTCGTAGAACAATGCAAATAGTATAGGCAGGTATCTGACTGATACCTGCTTATTTCAGCAATATGAATGAACCACAATGAATATTTTAGTTTATTGAGAATAGCTGTAGTTTAACACGCTACTGCAGATGCATTTGCTAATTAATTTGAATTACATACTAAAGATATTTTTTCTTACAGTAGAAATTGCTTTTTGATAAGAGTAACCTTACTTGTTTAACTAAATTTTCCTTATAATTTAGCTCTTTTTTGTATTTTGCATCATTTATAGTTTTTCTATATTTTCCATTGTTTTATTGTTTTTTGTCTCAGCTCATTATTATTTATACAATGATTTAAGTCCACCTAAATTTGCTCATTCCCTTTATTTTTTTTCAACTCTTCACCATAATATGTGTTAAAATATAAAGTTATATGCAATCAAAAAATTTGCAAAATTTATCTAAATGTATTCATTTAAAAATTACCATCACATACACAGATTACCGTATATATTGTTTAAATACTTTATGTTGCAGTGTAAATGTTTCAAGTACAGTACATTTTCTGTAATATTAGAATTTTTATTGAAGCCTCTTACGTCTAAAAAACCCTTACTTTGCCGTTCCAATTAATTCTCTCAAAGTAAACACTTTTGAAACTTAGATTAATTTCTAATCTTGACATGAAGGTCAGTACCAGTCTTCCTCCATCCCTCATTAAGATAAATGACCAGTCGCAGGACAAGTGACAGCAGCTTTATTATAGATGGAACATTTTAATCAGAAAAAATACACGATAGAAAACATTTTTATATAAAACAACCTGAAAGAGCTCATGTCTGTCAGAAATATGTATAAAGGTAGATTCTGTTATTCGGCATATGCAGGTTTAAAAAAAGATAAAATTGAAGGAGGCTTTAAATCTCCTGCCGTCACGTACGCCGTCAATTTGAGTTCCTGAACACCTCATTCACTGCCTTTGTAAGTCAAATCTGTCTCTCAGTCCTGATTGGCAAGGCTCCCAAGGGGCCCGGCCCCTCACATTCACCACCCTGTCTCCAAACAGCAGACACTCACACACTTTAAGGCACATAGACTCTCATTTAAAGAACCATAACAGCTATTCTACAAACAAACTGTAAAAAAAAATATCCTAAACATTGTTTTTTTCACACACGCTTCAACAAACCCTCCTTAAAAACAGCCATTTATTCACTGGAGGCTGGTGTTAATCCCCCAGAATGAAATTAACAGGCTTCCTCTCTGGGGACAACTGACGTGACCCTTAAAATGCAGAATAACCTTTAACGGGTTATTAAAAGAGAAAGATAGCAGATTGAATTAATTCAAGGAGGCTTAAACTCCAGTTTATGGTATGGCTGGAAATTTAACAAGAACGGCTGAAAAAGTTTATTAATGAGGAAAAACTTTCTGGACTGATCATCATTTTATGGCTATTTCAGGGTGATTGCTTATAGTCCTTATTCAGGACAAAAAAACATGGAGAAATTTGGGCTTTTTGCCCAAAATATCTTGACAACAGAAATCAAGTGTTGTTAGCCCATTTTTACAGCCGACATAAGAAGAAGTGTTTCTGTAATGATGAGATGCTCATGAGATTAAGATCCCGGCATGAACCAAAGAACATTTTCAGTTAGATGGCAGAGATATGGATAAGAGATCTGTGATGATGAGGAAATCGAGGCCCAACGTCAAATTAAATCCAGATGCTCTAACTTTAACCTTGTTATGTCCTGGAAGAGTTCTAAATATAGAGTTCTCAGTCTAAGACGAACTAAGGTAACTAGAAATGAGTTATCGGAATGGTTTGGGGTTATTTGCTCTGTTAGCATAGATTAAACGTGTTGGAAGAATCACATTGCCGTATCCAAATAGGAACATCCCTGTTCAGGAAGCTGGAATTGATCCAATTCTTTGAAAAGCATCATTAGAGGTTGCCTCTGATGATGCTTTTAAAGATTTGGATCTCTGATCAACAACTTTTGTTTGAGTTTTGTTTTTTTTACTGTCTTAATCTGGGCACACCCTTTTCGGGACAATTTTCCACTCCTGCGAGAATTTTTCAATAAGGCCTACTTTCCGGCTAATCATGCATCGTGTAGGTTGCAGGGGGTAATTAGGGGCGATCAGCGACTCACGACCACCTCCCAATAAGGGTGTGCAAAATAATCGTCATGACGATGCATCGCGATTGCATCAATTCTTGAAGGCAAGAATCGATTATAAAAAAAAAAAAATGAACAAATAAAATACATAAATGGTTGGCGCACATCAGCCAAACCAAGTGGAATACAACTTCCAGTCCAGCAGATGTCGCTGCGGATGTGTTGACGCCTGCTGCTTTGTGTCACAAGCATGTCCGGCCGCGGGATACTGTGACGAGTCATATGAAATAAAACATGGAGGACACAATGAAAATTCGCAGCTCCATCACATTTCAAGTCAGATGCTTGAATGCATTTAGGCTTTATAAACAAAGAAGGTAAAAACGAAATTGATATGACGCACGTTATTTGCAAAAGGGGAAATATACTTTTGAATGTTTTCGTTTCATTGGTTTAAAGGACCACTGAGGCCATGTAAACGGCACTGATTATCCTTATTTTGTTATTTTAAGTTTTATGAATCCTAAGATCTTTTTGTCAGTGTGTCCACGCCAGTAATAGTAATATTTCTGTCCAGTATTTGTTTCCATGGCAACACCTCCAAAAGTCATTTCAATAAATACAGCTATGTATGAATTCAGTTGCTTTCAGTTATGTATCAATTGAAGACAATATCCAGATCACACCCAGCCAGTCAGCCACTGGTAATGGCTGTATCTTTTTCTTACAGTGTTCAGTGAAAATATCGCAATGCATCGCGATATTTCAAGTATCGTGATGCATCGTGATAGAATTACATCGTGGCATGTGAATCGTGATTTGAATCAAATCATGACCTCTTTGCCAATACCCGCCCCTACCTCCCAATCAGGAATGGTGAGGTTGGGAGAAAATCAAACGTGTTTGAAATTCAGTTGGCCATCGTGAGCGAATCGCTCAATGCACAAACAAAGATTCTTCTTCTTCCTCTCAGACGAAAACCTAGAAGCATGGCGGCGGTGCAAGTGAAATGGGTTTCTTTCTGTAAAATTGACAGACTGTAGTAGCCATAGTTGCTCAGCCATGTCTTTGTTCAAATACTCGTCGCTTTTTCATTTTAGGACTTTCAGCACAAAAATTGCATAAATAGCGGCATCTCACTGCAGAGCTGAGTCCGACGTGGTTGTTGGACTGACAGTGTGAGCATTTGGATTGCATCAGAGCGTGGTGTCGCACAGTGTGAACCTTTAAACCCTGCGATTTCGTCGTACAGTGTGAGCTGTAGCTGTGCGCAACAATTTAAAAAAAATCTTACCTTGTATGCCCGGCTTTACTGGATCTCTCTTCAACTGCTACCATGTAGCAGAAGCTACAGAAAACTCCCAACAATCCCAGAATGCAATGCTCCATCACGAATATGATCAAAGATCTTCTTTGCTTTTCTCTGCCGTTACCATGTTTATTTCCTTGTGTTGAAGGCTGGTTAAAACCTTAAAAAAAGGTATAATCTAAATATTTATTAAAAACTATTACAGTGGTTCCCAAACTTTCCTTGGTGAGTCCCTCTGTGATTAAAAAAAAAAAGTTTTTGCATCCCCGTCCAACCAATCTTCTTGAAAGTTTAAGAAATTTCAGCTGCAGTAAAACGATTTGCAATAAGATAAACTACAATGTTCTTAAAATCACAAAGCCACCACTTTTACAGCAGAATTGTTTTAAGTTTAGCTGTTTATTTTACTGTGTAAACAAATTCAACTTTGCCTTCAACCTAGTTTTTTTAATTGCTATTCAGAACAGCTCATTTATCTGGTCCATTTCTACCATGTCCGTCCTGTAATTACACTAAGCCTCCACTTTGGGAACCTCTAAACTGTCAAATGTTTGATATTTATTTATGGGTTTATCAAAACAGTACTATTACTTTTAATTAAACAAATTGTTTCCATTTTTCTTCTTCTTTGCTATGTTAGGGTTTTCTTTAAGCAATGTACAAGGATTTAATTGGATGTTTAACTTAGTTTCAAGTTCATGTCTTTATTTTATTTTGGTTTTTATGATGCATATGTTTGTTTATGTGTGCTTTATAAATGTGGACCTTTATTTAGTTGTTTATCTGAATAACCTTACTGATATAGGGAGATTTAATATTTAATAATAAAAACTAAGGATATCTAACAAAGGTAAATATCCTCCAGCTCCTTTACAGGAATTATGTTTTTATATTTATCTTTGTTTTTATTAAATCATATTTATAGTGATTTTAAAATAATCCGTCGTATTGGTTTTACACAGTGTATAGAAGTTATAAATTAAATATTGAGCTCAGTCTGTGCTCTTTCTCAGGGTCCCAGATGACTCGGACTCTAAATCCGGTGTGATCCGCCAGAGGCAGAACTGTCTGGAGTCTCGTAGGATGGAGGGCCAGGAGATGCCCGTCCTCACATTGGGCCCCTGCACAGCAGTAGATGGCGTCCCCACCAGCAGTCAGGTGAGTCATCAGCAATGAGAAACAGGTGGCAGGATTAGAAAAAAACTCAAACACTTACTGATTACATGGTTGGAAACTCACTGTTTATCAAAAAAACATGTTTTTATAAATATCAAACTAGCCTTAGGAAAGAACAAATAATGATTTACTTCTTTTTTAATACAGCAAATTGAAAAACAAATACTGTGAAAAGTAATTTTCCTTGAAGTTTGCTCTAATAACTAGGGATGCACGATATAATCGGCCCCCTATCGGTATCGGCCTTAAAACTGAATATCGGATATCGGCCACCCCACCGATATTTAACCCGATATTTGATCAGCTTCTGAGTTTCTAAAGTCTAAAAAAAAAAAAAATACTACTTCTTCTTCCTCAAAAACTTCTTTTTTACAGACTTAAAAACTTCTAAAGACGAGGGAAAAAATATTGATACATTAAAATATCACAATATCTTCATATGCTGATATATTGCCATTTAAAAACACCATATCAATCTCTTTTACTAATGAAATATTGCTATATGTCATCGTTATGCTACGAAATCCCCCGAAAATTCACAAAATTTTGCCATATTTCTATATGTTGATATATTGACGCGGTATCGATCTATTTTACTAACAAAATCTCACAAGAATTTGCAAAATATAACGAGAGTTTTTAACAGAACGATGAAATTTCACGAGATTTTGAAAGTAAAATAGATCGATACCGCGTTTTTAAAAATCAATTTGATATCAGCATATGAAAATATATTTGAGTATATTATTTTTCAAAGTGTCAGAAATGGATAACAAAACTGCTATTTTCAATGACTACTTATTTTTGTCCAGCTTTAACATCGGTATCGATATCAGTTATCGGCTACATGAGTTTTAAAATATCGGCATATCGGATATCGGCCAAAATCCCAATATCGTGCATGCCTGCTAATAACGGATTGTTAGGATAATTATCATTGATGATGTGACTTTATTACACCCTAATATTACCTGCCTATTGTGTTTCAGAACTGATGTTTTCCCCAATAGATTATCTACTTAGGCCAGTTCCTCAGTCCGGCTATATATACAGTTATAATCTTCATTCTGCATTTGGCAAAGATTTGAGAATGGAATGAGTGCGGTGTCCTTGATTTAAGAAAACAGTATGTAAAAACAAAATGTAATATTTTAATAAGGCTGGAGTCATGGATGTCTCCTCATCTGAAAATGTGTATGCACTTTAAAAATTTTTTCTTAAAATGTGAAGTGCATTACAAATAAAATTTATTATTATTATTATTATTATTATTATTAATGATGTGAGGATGTGGCAGACTGAAGTATAAAATGCTTTTCGAGATGTGAGCCCGGTTGGTAAGCAGCTGCCTTCTGTAACTCTAAGCGACTTCTCTGATCTGAGTAAGATTACAATTTCTGTCAGAATCTGTTGTCATGTCTCCTGGTTATTTAATACGTATAAGTTATGTAGTGTTATTTAAAGAGTTTGTCCTGAGTAATCTTTTTTTAATAAAAAGAACCAGATAAAAAAAGTTTCAAAGTGTAAACAGATCTTTCCTTTAAAGTCGTAGGGAAGTCATATTTAAAAGTCTAATTATTCTGGCTTAAACATCTATATAAATGTACTCTTTATCAGACGATATTGTCCCAAAATTTAGAAAATTTATATTTTAAAAAAACCCTGTCTGTGGGGTTTCTTACGTTATTTTATGCAGGTCAGTGAGTTCTACGTCAGCCTGAACACCTAAATTCGGCCAATCATATATCAACGGTCATCTGTCAATCAAATTTTTTCGGTCATAGCATCTTGATTCATGTGTCGTAGCTAATATATGCAACAGTTGAAATAAGAGATAGAATCCTTTCCTTTCCCATTGAGTTCCGTCCCAGTGTTCATGGGGATGGACGTCTGTGTCTTCGGCAGGCGTAGAGCTAACAGAACTGGCAGCGTTGCGAGGCAAGGGCTCAAACATGTACGGCTGGAAGCCTTCTACACCAAACCAAGCTTCTGCGGCCCTGGCGTCCTCTTCCACAACATCTTACTCCCCGCTTTCCTCCTCTAAATAAAAAATGGATGACGGAAGAGACTCATCCACGACCTCCGACACTAAACTCTCCTCCTCTTGTATGTTTCCGCTGTCCATAGCGTTCCTTGACAGTGTCGTTTCTAAGTCACCAATTTAGTGCTACTTGGTCCCAATGGAATTTCCCATTGGGAACCTACTAGCACTAAGGTGCTAACTGGTTAGCAAGATGTTTCCGACAAACTGGCCACAACCAAACTTGCTTGCAAACCTTCTGCCACAACAATCCCGCCCCCTTGATAATCGACCAATCACATTCACTTTATTCATTTGTGTAAAGTCGTGCACCACTCGGGAGAATTCGGAAATGCGACGGTTGGAACGGCCGCTTCCCTACGACTTTAACAAGATCCATCGAATGTCTAGAGGGGTGCAGTGAAATCATTTTATAGGAATTGAAATAGAGAGTAATGTTTTTTATGTAAATGTTGGCTTCTGCACCGATAGGAATGATAGTTTGCAGTGATGCGAGACGGAGATAATCCTGATTCTAATAGCTCTGCGATGGAGCCTAGAAATTACTTGTTCTTCTTGGCGTTACATTTCTCAGATTCAAGCAAAAACCAAACAACAAAGAAAACAATGGTGAACATCGTTAAATATTTTTAGCGTTGGTGGCGACCTAAGAAAGCAAAGTGGCTCAGAAGCCGTACAGGAATTAATGGTTGTCTATGAATGGGTATCTGTAATGTTTGCTAATGCTAACTTTGGTTAGCTTTTCTGTCTCATGATTTCTAAGAAAGCAGAATGATTGGTTGTAGAAATGTGGCTGAAAGTCAAGTAATCCATTGTTGAGGATTAATAAAAAGAAGCCTAAAAAGTAAATTTTGCACGAAATAGGACCTTTAAAAACCATTGGCAGAATAATTGACATTTGATCATGAATATTTGAAGGGTGGCCTTTCCCACAAATTTATGTTTTTCTTGTAATTTTAACAAGAAAATAAATTCTTAATACCATAAATAATAAAATCCCTGCAAGAGAGAAAAGTCCATCCTTAGATTTTTAGATGGATTTTGGTTCATATTTTGTTGGTCTGTGCATATCCTGCTTTTATTAATTAACAAAAACCCTTTCAGCTTTGCAAACGAAACATTTTCAGTGAAAATTTTAAATTAAGCTCATGGAAATAAAGCAGTTATTGGACACATATGTGTTTGCAAAATAGAGGAACTGCATCAGTTTGTGTGACCAGTTTCCTTTGTTCTGCAAGAAGTCTCAGATTTTTCATTTTTCACCAGAGCCTGTATGCGAGTGTATGTGTTCACCATCCTCTCAGTTATAATTAATACCCATAGGATTCTCATTATTCCACGTTTAGAGGGAGCGTGGAGGCTGTGATTCACGCTAACAAGTCAGCTTGGAGAAAGCCAACATGTCAGCAGCTGAAATGCCTAAAGGCTGGAGAAACCAGCCTCTGACTTGAAGGTCGCTGATTAAAATCCCACAGCTCGAGCTAAAACCCACTGGGAACCCGAGTAAGAATGAGAAGCTGTCTCTTATCCAGAGGAGTCAGATGAGGAACAAAAGGCCTTTGTTTGTTCATCTTCAGATGTCAGATTTGAGCTCCCAGACTGGGCAGCTTTTGAACTTTGAGAATTTGATTTATTTAACGAACAGAAATCGTTTTCTGGTTTTCTTATATTGCAGGAAAACCATTAAAAATCAGAATTATCTGATCAATAATCTGCTTAGATTTACGTTTAACCCAAAGCTAGAAAACAAACTTTAATCTTTCTTCACCTTTTTTTAAGCAGCCTGGATATGAAGCAATCTTTCTGGGTCAGAACTTTTTGGACCATCAGAATTATCAGCCCTGCACACCTAAAATCAAATAAAACACATTCATGTTTTATATTTATTGTTGCCAGAGCAATAAACCAACACTGTAGGAGGAACAACATCATTACAGCCTCATTTACATTCATAACAATCACCTATTCTTTTATATTCATATTTTTGATTGAGCAGAATGTCTGTTATGTCCCGTCCAAGGGCCAGATCATAACATGAAGGATCCATCATCTTCAGATCAAGCAGCCAGAACACAAAGTTGAATATTTTATAATGTTATTCATTTTTAAAAAGAGATATTTTTTTTTTATTGAAATGTTACATTAAAGCCATAGGGAAATCATGTTTAAATGTCAAATCATTCTGGCCTCAACATGTATATAAATGTAATCTTGGAAAAATTTAGAAACATTTTATTTAAAAAAAAAAAAAAATGCTGTCTTAACCCTTTAAAGCCCGATCCACAAAAAAAAACAAAAAAACAGAAAATTACTTTTTTTTTTGTTTGAAGTCCTTATTTGGCCTTTTAACAAAATATGTAAAAAGAAAAAAACAGAAATACAGTTTAGATATTAATAATTTATTACGATAAGTCAAGATTATTTTTTGTGTAGTCTTCTACTGGCTGTTATCAGGTATATCTGATTGTGTACAATAGGATTTTGAGCAAAGTTTTTACCATTAAATTATGCAAAAGGTGTCAGATGCAAAACATTTCAGAAACTCTATGTATCAAATATGATACATTTGGCATGATAGTGTTAAAATCTGTTGGGGATTTTTTCGTTATCTTATGCAGGCCAGTATTATACGTCAGCCTTAAAACCTAAATTCGGCAAATCATATATCAACGGTCATCTGTCAGTCTAATTTTTTCGGTCATAGCATCTTGATTCATATGTAGCAGCTAATATACGCAATCTTTGAAATAAAAAACTAAGAAAAACATGAGAAAACTAAGGAAACAAAATGGCAGTTCACTCCTACAAGCTCCAGAACTTAACATGGTGTTAAACAGTGTGGCCGGTTAAGATGAGCTGAGGATGAATGATTGCGTGTCAGAAGCTTTTATATTCGTCACCTTCGGGAGGTCACCAATTGGACATCTTCTTCGTCGTCTAG